TTCTTTCTAATTTTAGTAGAGATGGGGTCTCGCTCTTGCTCAGGCTGGTCTCGAACTCCTGAGCTCAAACAATCCGCCCGCCTCGGCCTCCCAGAGAGCCATTCTATCAACTTTTATAGTACTCAAAATCTTTTCCAAAAAATCTGGCATGCACAGTAATTTTTTTATATATACATATACACACACATACTCTATATTATATACACACACATATATTGTGCTCTATTGATTGTACTACTTTAACTAAGAATTCCTTGAATGCTTGAACATAATACTTCTTATATCGTGCCCACAGTAATTAGTATAAATTTGTGTCCACAGTGGGAATTTAAGTATTTGGTAAAAAACCTTATCACTAAAACCTTAAAATAAATATAGCACCTTGGCAAATATATGTGGGTAAATAATTAGAGAAAACTTAGTGATGTTTTTAAAGTGCTTCATTTAAACTTAAGAAGACCTAAAGGAGATTAATGAAAAATTAAGAATCCTGCAACTCCCTCAAAAAGAGTGATAATCTAACATACTTTCCTTCAATAAATACAACAAAGTATTTAAGAAATGCGGTTGAAAGGTTGAAAACATACACAAAGGTACATTGTTTGGATTCTGCTGTGTGATTGGATTATTTGGAATATTATATCCATGTTCAAATTTAGACACTGTTTCCTCTCACAATCCTTCGGAAGTCATTTTTTAATTTGAAACAACCCATGCATCTATAACTGCTTAACTGGAAGAAATGAGTTCTCATCAATTAGCATGTACATTCATTAATGATACAAATATTCATCTAGCACTTACTAAGTGGCAGACATTACTCTAAGGACTGGGGTTACAATGGTGAGTGAAAACAGACATGGCCTTGCACCTTGTGATGCTTGTCTGCATGGCGTTTGCAAAGCTCATCTTACTGAACTTCTCAGCAGAAGTTTTAGTTAATCATTCCTTCTGAAAACGTTTTCTTCATTTGGCTTCTAGGGCACCTGGCTTTCCTGATTTCTTCCTGCCTCACTATCTGCTTCTTCTTAGTCTTTGCTGACCTCCTCTTCAGGCCTCAGATTCTAAATGTTGGAATCCCCCAGGTCTCAGTTCTAGGACTTCTTCAGTAGCTTTTCTCACTTGTTCCAAGATGTCATTGAAGCCCACGGCTTTAAATACTTCTTAAGGTTTATCCATCTCATTTCCTAAGTTCTATTCTGATCTCCCTTCAACACCAGACTCTATGTCCAGTTGCCTAGAACATCTACAACTCTGCTTAGGAGTCTAATGATCATCTCAAGTTCACACATGTCCATGTTCACATGCCCAAAAAGTTTTCTAGATTTTCCAAACACATAATTTACTTCAACTCCTTCTCTGTATCAGCAACTATCACCACCATCCACCCAGTGGCAGGCCCCTTGATTCCACACCCAACCATCCACAGCACCACCGGGGTCTTAGCCACAATCTGCTCTCGCCTGGTGGCCTAAGGTGTCCCTCCCTTGCTCAAACTCCAGTTGCCTTAGGCTACACATAAAAAAAAAAAAAATCCTCTCTCCCAAGGCCTACAGGACCTCCCTGCTCTTCCTTGGTATCCTCAGCGGGCCCTGCCCAACTGCTCTAATGAACCCGCTGGCGTCCCCCGAGCTGGGCTGAGACTTGCTCTCTGAGGTGTCCCCAGAGCTCAGCACAGTCCTTTCAGTAATGAGGCAGAACTGGCCCCCTGGTCCACCTCGCGCCCTCCACGGCCCGAACTTGCGACCCTTGCGCAGTCGCCCTCCGGAACTCACTCCCCAGCGGCCCTCTGTCCCTCCCCGGCCCAGGCGGGGTCCACTGCGTGAGGCCTCCCCGGCACGTCCCTCTCAGGCTCGCTCTGCGCCCACCACCCGCTCAGACGGCGGGACTGCGGTACCCTGACGAGGCGCAGGTGGTCGTCCGCCCACTGCGAGATCCGCGCCACCACATTGGGCGCTCCTCGGTCGGGGTCCGGAGACTGCGAGTCCGAGGCCACGGGCCGCCCCGCCATGTTCTCGGCGTCCTGTGAGCGCGCCGCGCTCCTCCGGCCGGCAGCAGGGGGCGCCGCGCTGCTCGGGCGGGTGGCGGGTCCCCTTTCCCGCGGCTTGGGGGTGGCCCAGCGACCTTCCATCGCCCGCGGACGGGCCTCTCAGTCCAGGTGTCGGACATCCTAACAGTGTCCCCTCCGCATTTATACAGAGATTTCCACAGCGCGGGTGATCTGCATGCCGCAGCGATGGGGGCTGAAGGATTACCGTCCATGCTGGTGGGGTGATACCAGTTTGTGACTTCTATTAAACCAGCCGCAATGTGGTTTCCGCAGGTGCCACAAAAAAATGGAAATTGGAGTACTTCATTCCGTCCACCTGCTCCCAAATATAACCATATGTACGTTTCTTTTTTTTTTTTTTAAGACAGAGTCTCACTGTGTTGCCCGGGCTAGAGTGCCGTGGCGTCATCCTAGCTCACAGCAACCTCAAACTCCTGGGCTCAAGCGATCCTTCTGCCTCAGCCTCCCGAGTAGCTGGGACTACAGGCATGCGCCACCATGCCCGGCTAATTTTTTCTATGTATTTTTAGTTGTCCGATTAATTTCTTTCTATTTTTAGTAGAGAAGGGGTCTCGCTCTTGCTCAGGCTGTTTCGAACTCCTGAGCTCAAACAATCCGCCCGCCTCGGCCTCCCAGAGAGCTAGGATTATAGGGGTGAGCCACTGCGTCCGGCCTGTATGTTTCTTATATTTGAATTATGCATTGAAGTTTTCAGAGTTTCTCTATAAGCCTAGTATCAGATGCTCTGAATCTCTGAACTGTTAATTGATTAAATATAAGGAGATGACATATTTGAGAAATTAACAATATATTTTAAATGAAACAAACAAAAAATAATTTTGCACTGGACAGTGCAAATGATATGGTAACTTTTGTACAATAGAAATATATGCTGTGTGTATTCGTGTGGGTCTGAACTATGAAAGACTATGCTAGAAACCTGTAACAGTGATTGCCCCTGGGGGAAGGATTGCGGATAGGAAAAGGAAGGTTTCACTACCTGCCTGCTCTGTCTAGTAGAACATTTTGCAGTGGTAGAAAAACATTCTGTAGCTGTACTGTCCAATTCAGTAGCCAGTTGTCTCCTGGGGCTATTGCCTGTTTGAAATGTGACTAGTGCTACCAAGGAGCTGAATTTTTAATTTTATTAATTTTAATTGATTTAAATAGTCACGTATGGCTAGTGGCTACCATATATTGGACAGTGCAGATATACTATTGGAATTTTTGTGTGTGTGTTAAGCAAATATTACCTTTAAAGGTCAAGATAGAATATGTTGTATTCCTCACAATATATATTATTAGTGGTGCTTTCTAGGAATGTATTAGCTCAGTAGTGTAGCCAATAGAAAGTAAATATAATAACAATAGCTAACATTTACTATGTGCCACACATTGTTCTAGGTCCTTTTCAGGTATTAACTCTCTTGATCCTTACAGCAACCCTTTGAGATATTATTAATCACTGTTTTATAGAGGAAGTAGACATAGAATGTTTAAACCAGTAGCCAAGGTCACCCAGGCAAGAAGTGGTAAACTGGGATGTTGTGCTGGGATTCAACTCAGCAGGTTGGCTCAGTCTGTGTACTTAACCTCAATACAGCCTCTTACACAGGCAATCAGCCAAATCACAAAAATCGCTATAAATTTCCAGTGAGAATGGAACAAAAATGATATTGGGGAAAATCCAACTACAGATATACTATAACCAAAATCCTTAATCACTATTTCAAATAAAAACAAAAGATCTGTGTGTTAATAGATTTTGAATAAATTTAGTTAATACATGAAAAAAGTATGGATTTCCTTATGGGCAATCATTTGCCAATTGCTGTTCCTTTTGCTTTTCCAATGTCCTGTATCTCTTACCTCCTTTTTGCTACCATTCTCTCTATCCCTGCTGAAGACAGATTAGTCCATTCTCCCTACTTGCCATCCCAAAGTCTTCATATATATGTATATATATATGTATCTCAGCTATGTGGGCATCTCTACATCCTCTTTATGTATCGTTCAATAATATTTCAGCATCACCTCACTAACCATTGCTGTGAAAAGTATAGTGTCTGTTCCAGGATTTCTGCAGATTAATCAGAGACTTATTCTCCTGACTTAACTCCACAAAGGAACACTGTTCCTTTTGCTGCTGGTAACCTCTGAGAACTCACTGGACATGATGATTACCTGGTCTCAGCAGACAGGGATGCATGAAAAGCCACACTTAGATTCACTGCCCTATCCCTCAATTTCTCATAATACCAGGAACACAAAGGCTGTGTCTGTAATAAACTTTTATTGAAGGTTTGAAATTGACTAGGTGGAATTATCATTTTTAAAAATATTGACTGGATGGCCAGGCATGGTGGCTCACGCCTGTAATCCTAGCACTCTGGGAGGCCGAGGCGGGCAGATTGTTTGAGCTCAGGAGTTCGAAACCAGCCTGAGCAAGAGCGAGACCCCGTCTCTACTAAAAATAGAAAGAAATTAATCGGACAACTAAAAATACATAGAAAAAATTAGCCAGGCATTGTGGCGCATGCCTGTAGTCCCAGCTACTCGGGAAGCTGAGGCAGAAGGATTGCTTGAGCCAGGAGTCTGAGGTTGCTGTGAGCTAGGATGATGCCAGGGCACTCTAGCCTGGGCAACACAGTGAGACTCTGTCTCAAAAAAAAAAAAAAATATTGACTGGATGTTAATGTGAATGTTCCCAGAGTCCAAAGAAAAATAAAAAAAAGTTGAGTATCTAATGGGGTTCTCACACAAACATATCCCAGTTTCTAGCCTTGGTTCCCAGTTTCAAAGTCAGCCATTCTATTTTTCTTATGCATTCACATATCTCAGAATCAGGAGATGAGGTCATAACTTCCTTGCTCCCCAAATTGTTTTCTCTCTTTCACTTTCTTCAGGACTTCCAGGAGTGATCAGGGTTGTAATCTTGTGATCTCCTGTTCACTCCGTCTTATTCATTGAAGATTTTACATCCCACTTAAAGACTTTCTCTTCATCTCAATTCCTATATCATTCTGATGTCTCAGTTGCTTGACTGTCTCATGCCCAGTGACGTTTCCTTCTACCCCACTTCAGCCATTCCTTCCCGTGGTCACGTCCTGGAATTTGCCTTCACCAGAAATCACCACATCCCCAATCATAGCCCCAACACCTCACTCTCCCATCACAACCTCCAGTTCTGGCTCACTTGTGAAAATATCCCTTATAATTGTGGTCCCCAACTCCTTGGCTGTGGACCATTACCAGTCTGTGGCCTGTTAGGAACCAGGCTGCACAACAGGAGGTGAATGGCAGTGAGCCAGCACAGCTTCATCTGTATTTACAGCTGTTCCCCATCACTCACATCACTGCCTCAGCTCTGCCTCCTGTCAGATCAGCAGCGGCATTAGATTCTCATAGGAGTGCAAACCCTACTGTAAACCGTGCATGAGAGGGATTTGGTTGCACACTTCTCACGAGAATCTAATGCTTAATGCTGTGAGATGGAGCTGAGGTGGTGATGCTAGCTCTGGGGAGCAGCTACAAATACAGATTATCATTAGCAGTTTGTATAATCATTTCATTACATATTACAATGTAATAGTAATAGAAATGAAGTATATAATAAATGTAATGTGCTTGAATGACCCCAAATCCATCCTCTGGTCCGTGGAAAAATTGTCTTTCATGAAACTGGTCCCTGGTGCCAAAAAGGTTGGGGACCGCTGCCTTACAACAACAATTCTTTGAGCTCATTAAGATGCCAGTGCGCTGAACCACCATCATCTATTCAACAGCTCCCTGTAGACTTTAGTTCTCATATTATCCAGCTTAGACTCCATAGTTTGTCATTATAATCAACTCCTTGAAAATATCCTCAACTTCCAATCCGCTCTGCCTCCTTTGCACTTGCCTGGCAAAACCCCAACATGGTATTATACCTGACCTCCACCAAACAGTTGGACTATGAGGTGGTGAGATCTTCAGCTTTTTTTTAAAAAAGGTGGAAATCTAGATTTTTATATGAAATTTCCCTGTTTTGAAATTAAAATTAAGTGTTGGCAACATACTGTGCTGGGTACAGAATATGCCTTGAGGCAGAAATTCCATGCTTTGTTTTTTACCTCTGCTTTAGTGGTTTTCCATTGTTCTTTGTGCAGTATCAAAACTCCTTAGGCTCACATGCAAGGCCCTGCATGACAGGCCTTGCATATCTCTCCAAGCTCATTTTTCCTACTCCCTACTTCATTATGTCTGAAACACACTGACCTTCTCTCTGTTCCTCATAGTGCTAAGCTCATCCTTGCCTTAGAGCCTTTGCACTTACTGCTCCCTCTGCTAGAATGCCCTGATTCCTCTGACTTTGCCCCCCAACCTCCCTCCCACCACTACCATCACTAAAGTGGCTCCTTATCTTTCAAGTCACATTTTAAACATCCTAGCCACAAGAGGAGCTTTCTAAATACTCTTTCTCAAGTAAGTCCTCACCATATACAACACAAAATTTAGTTTATAATTTTTGGACTGACAGGCTTTCTTTTTTATTCCCTTTCTCCCCCACTAGTCTGTAGGACAGAGACTTTATCTCTTTACTATGTCTTTGTGTCTATGACTGGATAGCCAGTGCCAAGCATAGTTCCCAATACATAAGAGAATACTAAGTGTTAGTTGACTGAGAGACATACTCTTCAATTCTCTATGCTGCCAAATCTCTACCTATCCTAACTTCTAAGATAAGTACATCTTTATCCTCATCCTCTTCCCTTCCATTCTTTTTCAGACAAATTCGGTCTTACAGCCATTAAGAAGAGCAGAACTAGTAACTTGAAACCACATGAAAAATTAAAGAGTACTAATAAAGGTAACTAAAGAGATAAATACAAAAAACAATATAAATGTATCTTTGTTTATGGCACTTTCCTTCTCCTATATGATCTAAAAGACAACTGGATAAAGCAATAATCATAAAACTG